GTTGTGTCCGCACACACCCCTCTGCAGCCGTCACCCCTCTGATTGTGTCTGCCATCACCCCTCTGCAGCCGTCACCCCTCTGATTGTGTCTGCCATCACCCCTGTGTCTGCCCTCACCCCTCTGATTGTGTCTGCCCTCACCCCTCTGCAGCCGTAACCCCTCTGATTGTGTCTGCCATCACCCCTCTGCAGCCGTCACCCCTCTGATTGTGTCTGCCATCACCCCTCTGCAGCCATAACCCCTCTGATTGTGTCTGCCATCACCCCTCTGCAGCGTAACCCCTCTGATTGTGTCTGCCATCACCCCTCTGCAGCCGTCATCCCTCTGATTGTGTCTGCCATCACCCCTCTGCAGCCGTCATCCCTCTGATTGTGTCTGCCATCACCCCTCTGCAGCCATCACCCCTCTAATTGTGGCTGCCGTCACCCCTCTGCTGCCGTCACCCCTCTGATTGTGTCTGCCCTCACCCCTCTGCTGCTGTCACCCTTCTGATTACCTTGTAGACACCCTCCAGGACCCAGACAGTACGTCTCAGGCCCCAAAGAGAAGGCAGGAGCTTCAGGGTGCATAAGGACCAGTTCCTCTGGGTATTTGGGTTTGCCTGTGGAGCAGATTCACAGCTTAGACACTCCCATTTCTGGCCCAGTAATGGCTCCCAATGGCAGCTTTCCCACTGGTGTCTTTCAGTGAGAACGGATTCCCCACAGGTAGCAGCAGCACCTAGTGAAAGCCACTCGACAGGGTTTCGCCCGGGGACTTTTCGTTTTATGTAGGTACAAAAAAAGCAATCTAGGGAATTTAGGGCCTGACCCAAAGCCATTAAGGTCAATGGAAAAACTTCAGCAGGCTTTGAAATCAGGCTCACAATACACCGAAAAGTCAGGGTATGTGAAACCTGAGCGACCGCAGGAACTCATCATCCCTGCTGTAGTATAAACTCACATAACCGATGCGATGTCTCCAATAACAGCACAACGCCATGCAGCCCCACAGACACACGGCTGATACTGTATTGCATTATAGGTGGCCAAGCAATAAAATCACATATGCAAACCTGCAGCGCACACCCTGCTGGTCACCTGTCCATCTTTCCCATCCCCTTTTCCTAATGGCGCAGTGCTTAGCTTGGACCTTTGAACAATTTTCACATCTTCTCTCGAAAGCTCTGCTGACTGTATTCGTACATAATGTCTCTTTCCAAACACTAACTGCTGTCAGGATTGTTTTGTTTCTGATATTTACACGGCAAGGATTTGTATATCACATTGTTAAAGCTTCCAAAATAGTTAAAAACAAAGAAAACAACTTCCATCAGCACCCAAGAGTAAGGTGCCTCAGTCCCTTTTAATGGGTAAATCATGCATAAATCACAAGTGATTTGTCTGGTAGTCTAGCAGAGTGCCCAAAGTCTCACTGTGGAATACTAGGGGAAAAAGGGACAGCCGTCACTCAGTGCAGTGGTAACCTTGATCTAGCTGACTTATAGGGTCATCAGATATCCCAATTTTATAGGGACAGTCCCAATATTTGGTGGCTTTTTCTTATATAAGCCCCTATTACCCCTCACCCCCGTCCCGATTTTTCACACTTGCTGTCTGGTCACCCTGCCTTAGCACAATGGAAGTTTATTGTTGCCTTAGTCATTAACTTGGGGATTTAAAATAAAAATAATTTTTTCTCACCTTGGACACTGAATGGTCTAAGTAATTTCCGGACTAATTCTGGAATCCAGACCCAAAAGAAGCCACCTTAGCTTGGGCTTTACTGATTGAGACTATGGTGAAGAGAAGCCGGGTCACGGGGTACTTAAAGTTCAACATACTCTGGTAAAAGGGGGGAACCAGTCATGTTATTATGGGGTGCTCTTGCAGCACCATCATTAAGGTTGCACGGAGCCTTCTGTTGAGAGACGATTTTTTTAAGTACACTAAAATCCACACGCATAGTCACATTGGGCAGAAAACTGCTAGGCCGGTGGAGAGCCTAGATGAGAGTTAGCATTGGAAATTTGGGGCACATGGTAAAGGGGTTCTTGAGATACCGTCCCCACACCATGACCTCATTTTCAAATGTGCTGGTTCTGACTACGCTTTTTTGCCCAGACCTAGGGGAAAACTAGAGGGAGTACTCACATGCAGCTTCTATCACTGGGCTGCCCCTCAGCTCAGCTAGCGTTGGCCACCAAGAGGCAGCTTCAAAACCCGATCGGTCAGCAGTTAGGAGCCTTTCCGGCTGGTTGTCCGAGTGATGTATGTGATTGCGATAGCTACAGCATGCCAGCAGGAGCAGGCTTAGCGACGCAGGCTGGAGCAGCGTTTCTTTGTAAAGGCAGCATTTCAAAGTGCTCTGAAATTCACAGGCAGAGTGAAAGCTGGCATCCCAGATCCGAGGCTAGTTCAGCTCGGTGGAGCCGTCCCGGGGTCATTTGATCAAGGGGGTCCTGAGATACAGCTGCCCAGAAATGTCCTGTTTTTAAAATTTAGGCTTGGTGCTTATTGCAGACACAGCAGTGAGAGCAGGGTGGGAGACACAGTACATAGCGCTGAGGCCAGGCAGTGAGCGTATAATGGCCTGGCTTGGTGCATTATCTTGTGCAGCCAAGTATTTCTTCTGATCCTCGGAGCGACTTTGGCTGCCAACTTGCCTGTTCTGGAAGGGAACAAAGTGCTGCTAAGCGTCCTTAACTCCCCTATAACAACAGTTTTTGTGGATGGATTGAAAACTCTAAGGCAAGAACCAGGGGTTACTCCCTCTGCAGACGTGTCGATGCAGCTTACGGGTGAGCTGGTGTTTCTGTGCTTTAAGGTGCTTTAATGAGCACAATAGCTAACGAGCATTGCTGGGTCATTAGCTCCACAACTGAGTCTTTGTGCATACGGCACTTGTGCACTACAAGGGCTTGACGACACAGGGAAATTGACCCGCCCAGAATAATTCGCCCACTATGGCTAGGCCAGACCGCTTCCCCGTGTAGACAAGAATTCCGTCACGCTATGCTTTTGTAACCAGGCCACAGCTCTCTCAGCCGGCCTGGCGACAGAAGCCCGACACTTTTCCACAACCCAACCCTGCATCGGTTAAATCTGTGCCCCTGCACCTAAAATGCTGCCTGGCTGTGTTCAGATTGATGCACTGTGGGGAAATGCAGGCAGCTATCCCATAGTGCCTCAGCAGGGGACAGAGCGCCTGGCAGCCCTGCACTCAGAGCAGCACCGGCAGCACGCAGGGCAATGCACTCTGGGATAGCCTACCGCACTGAGGACAGCCAGGACTGGCCCACCTGGTTACACAAAAACTCTTAGGGAGGCCTGGTTTTAGGACCTGGATCTCGAAGAGAATCCTGTGTCTGCTGGGCCCTCTGCCTAATAACAGTACTCAGCACCTGGGGAGTGGATAGGTGACATGGCTAGCGCCAGGCGTACCGAGCTGTTTATCGGATCAAACAAACGTTACAGGGTGTTGCCAGAGCCTGTGGGGACTTCCTCCAGCGCAGAGACCGCAGGCAACAGAATACCACCCCCTGGCCAAAACCAGCAGGGAAAGGGGCCCCATTAGACAAGCGCCCCATATTCACAGCACACGTCACCATGAATCTTGTCCGACATGCTGCCACCACACACAGTAGACAGCCTTTGTTCCCTAGTGTGGGTAGACACCTTGACTTCCTGGCTGGCTGAGTGACACTTCCACCTGTCTGGGGTGGGGGTGGTTTTGTTTGACAGCCTGGACGTGTTCTTCACAAAGGACTGTGAGGGGTCCAGGGAGGAGTTCTGAGACGCAGAGGAGTGCTGGGAACTTGAGCAAGACCCTGGTCATCTCTTCCATCAGCTCTGGGGTTTCTTGGGGCCCAAATATTTAACCAGGGGCTCGTCCGTCTAGCAGAGGAAGGTCTAACCCCACCCAATGGCTGGATGATGAAGCTAGACAAGTTCAGAATGGAAATAAGGTGTGAATTTTTAACAGTGAGAGCCTTAACCATTGGAACAAGGGCCACGGTGGATTCTCCATCACTGACCATTTTTAAATCGAGGTTGGATGTATTTTCTAAAAGCTCTGCTCTATGAATGATTCTGGGGAAGTTCCCTGGCCTGTGGTAGACCGGAGGTCAGATCAGTATGACTACACTGCAACCAAAAACCTGCAGCACAGAACCCCTGTTAATTGACTTGGGCTCACCAGGCTCAGGTTGTGGGACTAAAAATAGTCTAAAAGCGTAGACGTTAATGCTCAGGCAGGAGCCCGGGGTCTGAGACCCTCCCCCTCTCGAGGGGTTTCAGGGCCTGGGCTCCAGCCTGAGCCCGTATGTTTACACTGGAATTTTTAGCTCCAGAGCCCAACCCGCGTGAGCCCCAAGCCAGCCATGGCTGCGACGCAGGTGTTTTATTGTGGCATAGGCGTATCCTAGCTGATCACAACGGTTCCCTCT